CTCCCTAGAAAAGAAAAGAAACTCTCTCTATATTTATGTATAAACATGCAGTCTCCACCCGCTGATTCTCAGGGTGAAATCTGTTCCTGACCCGCTGCCACTGAATCTGTCAGGGACCCCATTTTCCTGGTAGGAAGCCGCATAGATGAGGAGCCGTGGAGACTGGCTTGGCTTCTGTTGGTACCAACTTAAATGGTTGTTTCTATATCTACCCTAGAGGCTCTGACTGGTCCTGCAGGAGAAGGAGGCCTGATGTCCAGGGGTAACGGGCAGGGACAGAGGGGTCTGCGTCAACACGATAGCCCCAGTGGATCCTAAAGTAAGGAGAGAAAGGAAGAATTCATACAAATATTAGGAGCCATTTTCATAATTTTACTTTGGTAATTACTTCAGGCTGAAGCACTTTCTGGGTGAAGTTGATTCACATGTCAAAAACATCCAATTTGAACACATGACAGAAATTTTCTAGACACAAAGGACTCTCTGGAATTCTACCCCATCTCCCCCTTCTGTCTGTGTCACAGTCTTCGCTAGAGCATGGAGTCCTTATTTTAGGTCCTTCTAGTTATCATAGATCCAAACATCACATGCTGCGTCCCAGAGATCAAGAAATTCAAATCTCAGTGTGTCCTGAATACACATGGATAGCGGGGGCGCCCCCTAAGCTCTTCCTCCCCACTCTGTTCTCCTCTCTCACCCCTCCACCCTCGCCTGGGAACCAGAGCACCAGCAGCACCAGCAGCTGAGCAGGGACCCTCATTGTGAGGAGTGAAACTGGTGCCTCCTGATGAGTTGAAACAAGACTGGAGCTGACCTTTTATCTCAGACTTGCAAGAGGGTCCTGCCCAGGGAACTATTATGCAAATTTTCCCATGTGTCTTCCTGCCTGTGGAGAGGGCCACCAGGAGGGTTGGGGAGCCCTGGTGTGAGCCAGGTGAGTCAATCATCTTCTCTTTGGACAAAATCCAATGGAGACAGAATTCCTGCTGCATAAGGTGGTAGGAAAAGGGTCTGGCTGTAAAAGTCTAATTCTGTGGCAAGGATGTGATGCATATTTCCCTGTCCTCTAAGAAAGCATCAGAAACAATGACAATGTAGATATGTGTGTGCATGTCAATCTTCTGGAGGTCCACGGACATCTTGCGTGGCTCCCTCCAAGCTAAATGTGGTAGCAGCTCCCACATTCACGTCCACTGCAGGCTAAAGGCATGACAGTTCACTAGCATCTGACTTTCCTCTTTCTCTCTGTCTCTCTCTTTTTGTGTCTGCCAGTGACCTTGCTGTGTGGCCCCGGGCATGACGTGTCCCCTCTAGGAACTGTGAGTAATAAACCTGTTTTTTCCCAGCTCCCAGATCATTGTTGTTGAGGGTTGTTTTGAAGTCATAAGACCCATAAGGGCTGACAAGGCTCAGTGGGTTAAATGGCAGACTCTTGATTTTGGCTCAGGCCATTTTGTCACGTCTATGATATGGAGCCCTGTTTCAGGCTCTGCACTGCATCACAGGACCTACTTGGGATGCTCTCTCTCCTCTCTTTCTGCCCCTATCCCCCCCTCATGATAAATAAATAAACATTAAAACAGTAGGCACCATAAACATTGGTTCAGCGAAACGTGGGTGGATCAACATTTCCCAAAAGGGGAGTGTCTATGGGGCATGCTGTCCACACCAAGGAGTGCCCACAAGTGTTGACAGCCAATAGCATCACTTTAGATACACAGAGACCAGCACAAAACACACACCAGTTGAATCATGAAAGTTTTCTCCCAAAAACAACATAACCTGCTGGTTATTAAGAAATGCATGGTGTCTGCTATTAACAGGATAACTTTAAAAAAGCTAGACTGTTAAAAATTGACTTTCCTTGGGAACTAGTGAATTAAACTCTATCAAGAACTGAAGTCAAAGGGAATTGTAAGAAATAAAGAATCTCACTTATAGCCTGATATCTTATAGTCCTGTTTAAAGCAAGAGGAAAAGGAAAAGAATGGTATGCCTTAGTGGCGTCTCAGATCATCCTGGTGATTGGACCTTACACCCTGGTGACGTTCTATCATATATATCAAATATCTATCATCTCTATGTATAAAAAGATACATCATAAATATGCATATATTGGTATATGTATATATCACGTACACATGTAGAAATGTGTATATATCACATTTACATATTAGAATATTTGAAGGATTTCTTAGTGTTAAAATTCCTTCAGGACAATAGGACAGAACGAACAAAGAACAACTCTATATTATTATCTTACTTTTCTCGGCTTTGAGTTATCATATATGTTGGGCAACCACGGACACGAGGCCACAGGTTACAAGGAGATTCTCTGTGTCAGAAAGATGGAAGCGGATCCACTCCTTTAAAGTCACAGTGTAACCTGGACCTATGATCGACATTTTCAGGGCCTTCCTCATAGATGGTCTGAAGCCTTTCAGGAGCTATGGTCAGAGCCTTTCTGACTGTGGTCAGAGCCTTTCAGGGCCATTTATCTCAGACTTTCTGCCTCCAGACCTGCGAAAATAAACCTGGGTTGTTTTTGCCACCAAGTTTGACCACCTTTGTATGGTTACACCAGGAAGCTGACATACCCACTATCCCATGTAGGAACTTCCTTATGGGGAAATGGGCCACAATCAGAAATCTGTCATGTCTTCTGTGATTAAAAATCAAGTTTTGGAAAAGCTATTTTTCAAGGTGTTATTTAAGATGCTCGAATCCCAGAATATATGGCTCTTTTCTGTGAAATTAACAGAAATCCTCTAAAAGTTGTCAGTTTTGATTGTTGTAGCTCACCATCTGTTTCTGTGATCGAGACAGAAAATGAGGTATCTTATAAATAGCATTTCTTGGTCAGGAAAAAGACCTTCCAATTTTCCTATACTTCCTATAGACAGAAAGTATGTTCTTAATTGTAGAAAGAATCTCTCTCTCCTGCCTGTCTCTCGTCTTCTGTTAACCAACCCGGCTGTGTTCTGCATGATCAAACTGACCAGCAACTAAAGCTGGTCCCTCTCTAGTGAACACAAATAGTATGAGTGGCAAGGAGGGTAAGAGTAGGCTCCACGAGGTCCAGGTTGGAGAACAAGACTCTCTGAGTCTCTAACCCTGACCGTCAGCAACTGAATGAAGAAAAACTTAGGCACATAGGTTTAATTGTAGATCTGTCTGTTGCCAAATGCTGTTAGTTCGGGTTCAATAAAACTAGAAGTGTGCGTATGATTTGTATGAGCTGGCAGGTAGCCCCGTGGGTGTCATGGTTTGTATCTGTTCTCTTGGAATCAGACCTTTAGGGTGGGGAGGGTGAGAGACATACTGTACACTTTGATCTATCAACTTTGTCACCACAAACCATCCAAACACACACTGCTTAGGCCAGGACTGAATGCACAGACGGCTCTTTCCTGATGACGCCCAAATGGAAGTTCCTTCTGATGCAAGGTGAAGTTTTCTCAGAAACTGGAAGAACACACAAACCAGTGGAATGATATCCATTGAGGGACAAGAAGAGTTCATGTTAAAATTTGCATATTGCCCAAAGCCATCAATACATTCTATGTGATCCCTAACAAAAGTCCAACATTATTTCCACAGATATAGGAAAAATAACCCTAACCTTTTTATGAACCCACCAAAGACCTCAAATAGCCAAAGGAATCCTGGGAAAATAGACTAAAGCTAGCTGCCTTGCACAATCTTATTTCAAACTATACTACAAACAGTATGGTACTGGCATAAGAATAGACACATAGACCAATGGAACAGAATAACGAGCCCAGAAAACCCTCCATGTATACTGTTGACTTTTATTTGGAAGGATGCCAAAATGGTCAAAGAGTAAAGAATAGTCTCTACACCAATGGTGTTGGGGAGGCAGGATAACCCCATGCAGAAAAGTGAATCTGGATCCCTATCTTATACCACTCATAAATTGAGACACATAATGTTGGGGGTGGGTGGAGTGGAAAGAGGGAGACACAGATGTGAGGCAGGTCCAGGCCCTGAGCTCTCAGGACAGAGCCAGACGTGTGGCTCAAATTCGTGAACTGCTAGATTCCGAATGAGCTGAAATCAGATGTTACACCGACTGAGTCACCCAGGTGCCCAGAAAGGGGGGCAAAGATATTTTAAACGACATGCCCATATAACAGAGACATATAATTGTGGGAGAACAACATTCAATAAATTAGACTTCATAAAAATTAAGAATTTCATTTCAAATAATCATTGAGAAGGTGGATAGACATGCCATAAACCGTGAGAGGAGGTCCAATATGTATTTTTTGTGTTTATGAGAAAACCTCTTTCTGAATGTATAAGGAACTCCTTAGAAAAAAAAAGATACTCTCTATATTTATGTATAAACATGCAAATTATTTATTATATCAGTACGATGATATGCAAGTATATAGAATATGTAATTTAAACAAGCAAAACAAGGACTTTCAAGGAAAAAGGATATCCAAATGGCTAATAAAAATTAAACATGAAACATTTCCTAACATCATGGTCATCAAGGAAACGTGCATTTTTACCACAATATCCTTTCAGGATCTACCAACATGGAGATTATAAAAGTCTGATATAAGAAGGATTGCAGAGCACTTATAGTAACTGGAATGTGCACGCAAGTGATGGAGCATAAACATGTTCGCCATCCTGGAAAACAGGGACGCGGGGCTTCCTGAAGGCAAATATCCCCCCGCCTGGGAGGCCTACTTCCATCCCTAACAATATACCCAGCAAAAATGTCGGTAAGGCCACAGACCCATCGAGGACCGCTTCTGCCATCCTAAAGCTGTGGCACCTGATGGGGCCTTAGCACATGGTGCCTGAGGGGTGGCCAAAGCCCGGGTGGTGCGGGGCCCTCAGCTGCGGCCTAGTCCCCTGGGGTGTCCAACGTCTTCCGCTTACACACACTCGGACGACCTGCTGTGGGCCCCCCAGACAATCAACACTTTGGGGCAGTTGATATCCCCAACAGGCAGGTTTTTGTTTAACGTTTAATCACCGTGGGAGGAGTTTGTAGAGCTTGCTGGCAGTAATAAACTCCCACGTCCTCAGTCTCCACCCTGCTGATTCTCAGGGTGAAATCTGTCCCTGACCCGCTGCCACTGAACCTGTCAGGGACCCCAGAGGCCCGATTGGAAGCTGTATAGATGAGGAGCCTTGGAGACTGGCCCGGCTTCTGCTGGTACCAATTTAAAAGGTTGTCTCCATATCTATCCTGGAGGCTCTGACTGGCCCAGCAGGAGATGGAGGCCGGCTGTCCAGGGGTAACAGGCAGGGACAGAGGGGTCTGTGTCAACACAATAACGCCAATAGATCCTAAAGTAAGGAGAGAAAGGCAAGATTTCATGCAAATATTATGAGCCATTTTCAAAATTTTACTTTGGTAATTACTTCAGGCTGGAGCACTTTCTGTGTGAAGTTGATTCACATGCCAAAAGCATCCAATTTGAACACATGATGGAAGTTTTCTAGGCACAAAGGACTCTCTGGAATTCTACCCCATCTCCCCCTTCTGTCTGTGTCACCATCTTTGCTAGAGCATGGAGTCCTTATTTTAGGTCCTTCTAGTTGTTATAGGTCCAAACATCACATGCCGCATCCCAGAGACCAAGAAATACGAATCTTAGAGTGTACTGAATACACATGGATAGCGGGGGCGCCCCCTAAGCTCTTCCTCCCCACTCTGTTCTCCTCTCTCACCCCTCCATCCTCACCTGGGATCCAGAGCATCAACAGCACCAGCAGCTGAGCAGGGAACCTCATTGTGAGGAGTGAAACTGGTGCCTCCTGATGAGTTGAAACAAGACTGGAGCTGACCTTTTATCTCAGACTTGCAAGAGGGTCCTGCCCAGGGAACTATTATGCAAATTTTCCCATGTGTCTTCCTGCCTGTGGAGAGGGCCACCAGGAGGGTTGGGGAGCCCTGGTGTGAGCCAGGTGAGTCAATCATCTTCTCTTTGGACAAAATCCAATGGAGACAGAATTCCTGCTGCATAAGGTGGTAGGAAAAGGGTCTGGCTGTAAAAGTCTAATTCTGTGGCAAGGATGTGATGCATATTTCCTTGTCCTCTAAGAAAGCATCAGAAACAATGACAATGTAGATATATGTGTGCATGTCAATCTTCTGGAGGTCCACGGACATCTTGCGTGGCTCCCTCCAAGCTAAATGTGGTAGCAGCTCCCACATTCACGTCCACTGCAGGCTAAAGGCATGACAGTTCACTAGCATCTGACTTTCCTCTTTCTCTCTGTCTCTCTCTTTTTGTGTCTGCCAGTGACCTTGCTGTGTGGCCCCGTGTATGACGTGTCCCCTCTAGGAACTGTGAGTAATAAACCTGGTGTTTCCCAGCTCCCAGACAATTGTTGCTGAGGGATGTCTTGAAGACATAAGAGACATAAGGGCTGATGAGGCTCAGTGGGTTAAGTGGCAGAGTCTTGATTTTGGTTCAGGTCATGTTATCAACCCTGTTTCAGGCTCTGCACTGCATCACAGGGCCTACTCGGGATGTTCTCTCTCCTCTCTTTCTGCCCCTATCCCCCCTTCAAGATAAATAAATAAACATTAAAACAGAAAGCACCAAAAGGGTTGGTTTCAGCAAAACACGGGTGGATCAACATTTCCCAAAAGGGGAGTGTCTATGGGGCATACTGTCCACACCAGGAAGTGCCCACAAGCGTTGCCAGCCAATAGCATCACTCTGGATATGCAGAGACCAGCACAAAACACACACCAATATGAATCATGAGAGTTTACCTCAAATAACAACATAACCTGCTGGTTATTAAGAAATGCATGGTGTCTGCTATTAACAGGATAACTTTAAAAAAGCTAGACTGTTAAAAATTGACTTTCCTTGGGAACTAGTGAATTCAAGTCTATCAAGAACTGAAGTCAAAGGGAACTGTAGGAAATAAAGAATCTCACTTATAGTCTAATATCTCATAGTCCTGTTTAAGGCATGAGGAAAAGGGAAAGAATGGTATGCCTTAGTGGCGCCTCAGATCATCCTGGTGATCGGACCTTACACCCTGATGACGTTCTATCATATATATCAAATATCTATCATCTCTGTGTATACAAGCATACATCATAAATATGCATATATTGGCATATGTATATCTCACGTGCACATATAGGAATGTGTATATATCACATTTACATATTACAGTATTTGAAGGATTTCTTAGTGTTAAAATTCCTTAAGGCAATAGGACAGAATGAACAAGGAACAACTCTACATTATTATCTTACCTTTTTCCGCTTTGGGTTATCATGTATGTTGGGCACCACAGACACGAGGCCACAGGTTACAAGGAGATTCTCTGTGTCAGAAAGATGGAAGCGGATCCACTCCTTTAAAGTCACAGTGTAACCTGTACTTATGATCGACATTTTCCCGGGGCTTTTTCAGAGATGGTCTCTGTGGTCAGAGCCTTTCTGGGGCATTTATCTCAGAATTACTGTCTCCAGACCTGCGAGAATAAACCTGGGTTGTTTTCAGCCACCAAATTTGGACCACATTTGTACGGTATCACTAGGAAGTTGACACACCCACTATCCCATGTGGGAACTTCATTATGAGGAAATGGGCCACAATCAGAAATCTGTCATGTCTTCTGTGATTAAAAATCAACTCTTGAAAAGGCTATATTTCAAGGTGTTAATTAAGAGGCTCAAATCCCAGAGTATATGGCTCTTTTCTGTGAAATTAACAGAAATCCTCTAAAAGTTGTCAATATTGATTGTTGTAGCTCACCATCTGTTTCTGTGATCGAGACAGAAAATGAGGTATCTTATAAATAGCATTTCTTGGTCAGAAAAAAGGCGTTGCAATTTTCCTATACTTCCTATAGACAGAAAGTACGTTCTTTTTTTTTTTTTAATGTTTTATTTATTTCTAGGAGAGAGAGAGACAGCGTGAACAGGGGAGGGTCAGAGAGAGAGGGAGTCACAGACTGAAACAGGCTCCAGGCTCTGAGCTGGCAGTCAGCACAGAGCCCAACGCGGGGCTGGAACCCACGAACCACGAGATCATGACCCAAGCGAAAGTCGGACGCTTAACCGACTAAGCCACCCAGGCGCCCCCAGAAAGTACGTTCTTAATTGTAGAAAGAATCTCTCTCTCCTGCCTGTCTCTCAACTTGTGCTAACCAACCTGGCTGTGTCCTGGACGACCAAACTGACCAGAAACTAAAGCTGGTCCCTCTCTAGTGAACACAAATAGTATGAGTGGCAATGAGGGTAAGAGTGGCCTTCATGAGGTCCAGGTTGGAGAACAAGTCCCTCTGAGTCTCTAACCCTGACCGTCAGCAACTGAATGAGGAAAGACTTAGGCACGTAGGTTTTATTATAGATCTGTCTGTTGCCAGATGCTGTTAGTTCGGGTTCAATAAAACTAGAAGTGAGTCTGTGATTTGAATGACCTGGAAGGTAGCTCTGTGGGTGTCATAGTTTGTATCTGTTCTCCTGGAATCAGACCTTTATGGTGGAGAGGGTGAGACAGTTACACATGCTCTACACTTTGATCTATCAACTTTGTCACCACAAACCGTCCAAACCCACACTGCTTAGGTCAGGACTGAATGCACAGAGGGCTGTTTCCTGATGAGGACCAAATGGAGGTTCCTTCTGATGAAAGATGAGGTTTTCTCAGAAACTGGAAGAACACATAAACCAATGGAAGGATATCCATTCAGGGACAAGAAGAGTTAATGTTGTTAAAATTTCCATATTGCCCAAAGCCATCTATAGATTCTCTGTGATCCCTATAAAAGTCCAACATTATTTCCACAGAAATAATATAGGAAAAAATAACCCTAACCTTTTTATGGACCCACTAATGATCCCAAAAGCCAAAGGAATCCTGGGAAAGTAGAGTAAAGCAAGATGCCTCTCACAATCTCAATTCAAACTATACTAGAAACAGTATGGTGCTGGCATAAGAAAAGACACATAGGCCAATGGAACAGATAAATGAGCCCAGAAATAACCCTCCATGTATATCGTTGACTAATATTTGACAAGGATGCCATGAACGGTCAAGGAGTAAAGAATAGTCTCTACACCAAATGGTGTTGGGAAGACAGGATATCCCCGTGCAGAAAAGTGAATCTGGATCCCTATCTTATACCACTCACAAAATTGACTTGAGATGCATTAGAGAGTTCATGTAAGATCTGACTTCCATAAGAACATAAAACTCATAAAAGAAAACACAGAAAAGAAGCTCCTTGACGTTGGCCTAGACAATGACTTTTTGGATATGATGCCAAAAGTATAAAAAACAAAATCAAAAATGGACAAGTGGGCTGTGTCAATTTAAAAAGCTTCTGCATAGCCAAAGAAACAATCAACCATTTGATAAGGCAACCTACAACGTGAGAGACAATATTTGCAAACCATATAGAGATAGGAGGTGAATATCCAAAGTATATCAAGAAATTATATAACTCAATAGCAAAACCCACAGAAACAAAACAACTAGATTTAAAAAATGGGCAGAGGAATGGAATAGATATTTTTCCAAAAAAGACCTACCACTGTCACCAAGTACCAAAAAGATGCTCAACATCATTAATCACCAAGGAAATCGAAACCACAATGACATATCACAGTATTCCTGTTAGAATGGTTCTCCTCAAGCAGACAAAAGAGAGGTGTTGGAGAGGATGGGAGAGAAGGAACCCCCTGTACAGTCTTGGTGGGAATATATGCTGGGAAAGCCGCTATAGAGGAGGGTATGAGGCTACTCAAGAAACTGAACAGAGAACTACCATATGATCCAATTCTGGGTCCCAGCAATTCCAACTCTGGGTACATTTCCAAAGAAAAGAAACCAGATTCCCAAAGATATCCACACTCTCAGGTTTATTGCCACATTATTCACAATAGGAAAGATATGGTAACAGCCTGTGTCCATCAATGGACGAATAGGTAAGGAAGTTGTGGTATATGTACACAATGGAATATTGCTCCGCCATGAGAAAGAATGCTTTTCTGCCATTTGTGACAAATTGGATGGACCTTGAGGTCATTATGCTGAGACACGTCAGACAGAGAAGGGCAACTGTTGTATATATTCTTTTTACTTAGAATCTAGAAGAGCTGAGCTCCTGAGAACAGAGACTGGAATGGTGGTTACAGGGACTAGAGGAGCAGGTGGGGAAATTGGAGAGACGTGTTTAGGGCTATGAGAAACTTAAAATGGCCAGTTATTTTATCAATAAATGAGTTTATTCAGGAATAGTAGAAGACAAGAAACCTATGACAAATCATAGGCAAATCCAAAGAAACAAAGAGAAGGTCATTTGCATGATGGTTTAGCAGGAAATTGGTGAGGGTTGCTTTGAACAAAATTCACTGGAGAACGAGAATCCCACTGGCTACAAGCAGTGGTTCCATGTTGTCACCCTTCTTGGGGCAGGGAGGGATCTTCCTTCTTTCTTTTAAATGCAGGGAATAAAATTCCTGTGTGAAAATGACCTCCCTTGTCAAAATAATTCTTTTCTTTTTTCTTTAACAGGATTGGATATTTTTGTGTATTTTTAAGTTTTTATTTAAATTTCAGTTAGTTAACATATAGCATAATATTAGTTTTAGGTGTACAGTGTAGTGATTCAACACTTCCCACATCACCCTGTGGGCATCACAGGAAGTGCTCTTGTCAATCCCCATCAAGTCTTTCCCACAATCCTCAACCCTCCCCGCTGTAACCATTGCATTGTTCTCTATCTCTCTGACAGTCTGTGTCTTGGTTTTGCCTGTTTCTTTTTGGTT